AAGCTTAGTCACTGTGGCAACCAGTGTTAATTTCGTTGACGAATAATTTTCGTCAACAACATTTTTTTCACAGACGACAATGAGACGATAACGAACTAAAATCAACGAATAAAAACAAGACGAAAATGTTAGGGAGGGACGATTTGGGAAGACAGTCATTCAATTTCAGAACGAATCTGCTGCGTGGTTCGGAGGTTAGATGCATACATATGAACCGGCGGGACATAAGCTAACATACACTTGCTGCACGTCGCATAAAACGTTCAAAAATGTCAATATGTGGGAGTAAGAGAAGAACAGACATATAGATAAATCTGACGATGCAAGAGAGAACTCAATTCCGTCCGGTTTTCTGAGCGCAGACACTGAAGCACACACACACAGAAAGCGCGTCTCACAGCGCGCGAGTACTCTCTCGAGTCGCATGAACGGAGAATTACACACAAAATGATGTCCAATTGTCCCTTTTGACGAGTATTCACGTAAACACAGTTGACTATGTCTTAAGTGGACGTAAACAGTAGGGAGAACGTGTATCAGTACATTGCATCCATTGCAGCGGTGCATCTGGGAAACTAACCTGGTCTAAAGCAGGCTAACTGTCAGGCTAAGCTAAGCTCCTCTACTGACCAATAGGAACCCAATGATATTACCACCGTCTCACATACTATTATTTACAGTTTCTAGCCATGCAGCCTTTCTCTCTGGTTTTATGACAGCTGTACCTTTTATAGTTTGCAGAACATTAGAACATTACAATCTAAAATTGCTCTTTAAAGCATTAAAATAAGTAAATTAAAAGTTTAAATAACTGAATTAAAAATGAAAATAAATAATAAAGAAAATGACTATATTTAACTGCTACAAGAACTCATTTGAGCTTATAGTAATTACTACTGAACTAGCTTACATTTGATTTACCTATTACAATAGTACCTTTACAGTTACTGCTATCACAAAAATACACTTTATATGTAGGTTTAAAATTCTACAAAAGACACATTTAATGTCCAACAACAAATATTTTAGCAAAATGTATATTTTACTCCGAATTATTGCGCTACTATTATATTGCTCTCCGTCTGTTTAGCACGCATGTGTGCAGCAGCGCTCGTTCACTCGCGTCAGCCTTGCCCACTCCTGACAGCAAAATGGATATGTTTGCATGACTTTCTAACATTTACAGATTAAAAATATACCTGTGACGTGTCAGTATATGCACTGAGGAAAACACAACGTCTCAAATGCATTAAACAGCACAGATATATTCGCTGTTTGTCATGGTGGATCGATTTGATCCATGATCGACATTAAGGTCTGCTTAAGAATTAAGCGTGCACAAATTAGTGAGATTGTGTGAATTGAATTTGTCGTTAACGGAACTGCTTTAGCCCAGATTGATTTGTTAGCTTATTTCAAGTCAGGTTTTGGACTTTAATCCACGCTTTTCCTCGGGTCTCCGTAGTGTTGTGATGCATCATATTCACGCAGCAGTGGTGATGATGAGAGAATTATAAAGATATATATATAAAGGTGAAAACACAATACATATATTACACATATTATAAAATATATATACATATACTTACAATTGTATTACATATGATGATATAAATAATACAGTAAAACACACATCATATATACATATACACATGTATATATACACACAAACATATGGACATGAATACACGGATACATGCACATTTAAGTAAAATATTTAATTTGTACATTCGTTAATCATCTGTTAAGTGTTATATAATGCAATAATGCTTTAATTGTTATAAAAAAAAAAAAAGTGTTACCAAACTGTCATATGCTAACTAAATGAAAGCTCTAGACTGGATACTGCACACATATATGTAAACGAGGCCAAGTGAGTTACTACACATGTAAACATACCTAGATGTGTCCCTACAGAAGACAGCACAGGGGACGGGTGTTAGTCGCGAGGTATGAGGACTGTATTCAGATATATAGAGTCTGGGGTGTTAGCTGTGCTCACGCGTGTTTGTGTGTGTGTGTGAAAAACAGACCTTTGCAGTGGGCATAGGGCATGTTCATCACATAATCCTCTCCTCTGTTCAGAAACGACAGCCTGGCTTCACCGTCCAAGATGGCTGACAGAGAGTTTCCTGAGAAACACGCCAACAAATCGCAATCAGACGTACGCGTGTGTGTGTGTGTGTGTGTGTGTGTGTGTGTGTGTTATACAAAATGACGAGATTTATCGTAATGTATCTTCTGTCTTACCGTAAAACTTGGACTTGGCCAGGATGCTGCCGCTGAGACAAAAGCCATCCTTCCTGTTGCTGACGTAAAAGGCTGAAACCGGAGGATGATGGGATACCTGAAGGAGGACAGACACTTTATGTTGGCGTGAGGCTCGGTAGAAACTGAGTGGAATTAAAGTCGATTTTGCTGCTTCACCTGTTCTGCGATGTAGAAGGTTTTGCTGTTGGTCTTGCTGTGGATCCATAAACAGCGAAATGTTTCTCCAATAATGGGGTTGTATGGTTTCTTCAAACCCTGTCAGTGACAAAAATGATGAAAATATGACGGAAAATGACAGATTCGAGATGTCTGAACTGTCTATTAGTGAATGAGCCTTTACCTTTGGCTTCTTGTAGAATCCAGAAATGTACCATTTGACCACTTTCTTCATACGGTTATAAGCGTTTTCCTCCACCGCCGCTCTGATAAGATTAACAAAACACAATTACAGTAAAGTTACTTTAATAAAACAAGCTAAAATCTGATTTGATGTCATTATGTGTATTTTTTTATTATTATTTTTTACCAGGGTTATTATTGCTAAATAACACTAAAAACATTTTAAAAATTCTTTACTTGAAAAAATAAATAAATTAATTAATTAATTAAATTAAATAAATAAATATTCTCATTTTCGTTTGGTTTAAGTTACTAATATTACTAAAACTAAATAAACTAATAATAATAAATCAAAATTAATAAATATTATAGACATATTAAAGAAAACTAAAATCACAAAAACACAAAAAATACAAAAACTTTAACTAAAATTTGTGTGAAAACATCTATAAAATCGAATTCAAAATATTAACAAAATAACAGTCAAAAATAACATTGATTTTGACATTTTAATTTGACTTTACACTGACGATTTGTTTATTATGTTTATTACTATGTGGACAATTTGTTTATTATTATTATAAATAAATGTAATCCATTTAATTTAATATTATTTAGTTACAGTGATTTTACCATGTTTGATCCACTTCATTTTTAATCCATAACTATGCTAAAATTATTTTAAAATAAATTACATATAATTAATTTAATGTAAATAAATTAAGCAATATTAATATCAAAATTTTATATAAACAAAAAATAAAATAATTAAAACAATTTTTAATTAAATAATTTTCTTTAAATAATTAGATTTTTTATCAACTATGTTTTTTACACATTTTATAGTCCCTAATAAGGGACTGATTTGGAACACTAGAGACAGCAATTCCATGCATGCTCCTTTCCAATGTCATTTAGTTCATTATTTATATACTATTATAGTAGTTAGCTTTTATTTTTATATTTTCATTGTCATATTTTTATTTTTAGTTTAAGCTTTAATAATTCTATGATGTTCTTTTGTCATTTTTATTTTTATGCCATTTTATAATTTATATTTAGCTTTAATTTATTTTTATTTCAGTTTATTTCAGTAATAACTAGAACTTCAACTTTAGTTTATTTCAGTTCTAATTTTCGTTTCGTTTTCTACTTTAAGTTTCATCTAAATTTTGTATATTATTTCAGCTTTATTTCAATGAGGATTTTTAGTAGTTTTCCTTTTGTTATTAGTGAACATAAAGGAGCATCTGAATAATCGGAGCATCACTGTGTCTGTGTGTTATCTTACGCGGACAGGAAGTCAGCGTGATAGTAGTAATCGGACAGTTTGTCCAGGAAGGATCGTGGCTCCAGGATGAAGGTGGGCAGCACGACTTTGGACAGGTCCATGCCGGGCCGAACCTGCTTCAGTAGAGTCCAGATCAGAGATTGCACCTCTCCCAGCTCCTCGTGGCTCTGCTCGATGTACGACGTTTCCCGCAGCGTCTCGTTGGGATCGAGGTCGATGTACGAGTCTTCCTGTCGCTCTGACGTGTCGCTGTCGCTCTCTTCACTTTTCTCCATCACCTCGTTCTCCCACTCCTCCTGCTCCTGCTCATTCTCACGGTCCGATTTATCCGAGTACAGGTCCGGATCCTTAAACTGGTCGCTGTCGTTAAACCTGACAGATCACACAAACTCTCAGTTAGTATGCAAACATACTATCGGTGACTAGTGGTGCTTCAACTACTTCAGTTTCGGTCAATATATGCATACAGAGTGAAACAATCAGTTCACAAAATAAAACAAGCTAAAATCAGGTTTGATGTCTTATTTTGCCTTTACGCTTTTATGTGGACAAATTGTTTATTAAAGTGAATATTATTATTATAAATAAATAAATTATAATAATACATTATAATAAATAAATTTATTATTATTTAGTTGCAGTGATTTTATCATGTTTGGTTAACTTCATTTTTAATCCTTAACTATTACATTTTTTTTTTAATAAATTTAAATAAATGATTATTAATTATAAAATAAAATAAAAATGTATATATTTTGTATATTTATATAAACATAAAATTTCAATATAAATTAAAAAATGTAATAATTTTTTTAAAAACACTTAATTTTTTAAAGAAAATTTATAGTGTTGGAAATAAAAACTTCCAAATAGTGAGATTGTTTTTTAATGGGATATGCTTTTGTTGAAGCCACCCATTCACTTCATTATTTTAACATATTAAAATTATTTTTATATAAATGACATACAATTAAATTTCAATAAATATAATCATAAAAATTTAATATAAATAAATAAAACATTTTTTTAAACAATTTTTTAAGAGATTTTTTTACTTCCAAAGTAGAGATATTGATTTTTAACGAAATGATTTGTAATGGTATATGCTTTTGTTGAAGCCATCGGTTCACATTATTTCAACTTTCAGTAGTTTTGTCCAATTTTCAAATAATTTCTGTTTCAAATCAAAGTTTGTGATGTTGTGATTAAACTCATAGCTGCTTGTTTTGGTTCATGGCTTATAATGCGTTTATGAAGACGTTTTTAAAATCCCTATGGGAAAATAAATGGGAAAAAACATTTCGGGAAACAATTTAGCCAAAAAAGTGGACGTTAATGCACTTAATTGTAAATGTGCATTGAAAATTAAGTCATTTCTGTTACTGATCATGTGCCATAAAATAAAAGTACTATTGTATTAGCCAAGACTGAACTCTCACTTAAGATTTAAAGGAAATGTCACGGCACTCTGCCGCTGAACGTCCGACATTAAAAATGAACATGCAAGTGTCACTTTTTATCAACGCTGAATTAAATATTCATCTAAAGAGCCAGTAAGATGACAGCTGGCTGTGTTAATGTGCGTGTCTCACTGAAAGCCCTGCATGTTGTGTGCCCTCAGCAGACTGTAGAAGTTGATGTGCGAGTGCTCTGCGGTCTGCGTCGTCTCCTCTTTGCCCTCTCGGATCATCGTTCGCTTCAGCAAACTCGAGCATTTCAGAGCCAATTCAAGAGCGTCCATCCAACAGCGGCCTACACACACGACGCAGTGTGTTATAAAGACTGGTGCTGCAGTAACATACAGCTCTGTTCTGTAAATCTGTGTGTGTCTCACCATCTGATTCTGAAGCAGCTCTGAAGATCAGGTGGCTGCTGGGTAACGGCTGAGTGATGGAGCCCACGGCTTCTCCTTTAGGACCCTGAGACACAAACATAAACACTTCATCCAACTATCCAAATAACTTTTTACACTAATAAAGGAATATTAAAAATTGAATGAATATAAAAAGAGCCCATATTATACATACTCACTTTCTTTTTTATTTTATTGTTTTACTTAATTTTTTACATTGTTTTATAGTTTTAAATATATACAATTTTATATACACACTGTTCAATATCTGTTTTAATAAAGAAATTAATACTTTTATTCAGTGAGTAGGCATTAAATTGAACAAAAGTGACATTTATAATGTTACCAAAAATTCAAATAATAATAATACTAATAATAATTCAAATAAAGTTCTTCTTTTGAACCCTCTATCAAATTCTTTCTAAAGAATCCTGACAAAAAAATTAGTTTCAAAAAAATATTAAAAATTGTAAATATTTTTATTATAATAAAAACATGTTAATATAAAAATATTAAATATTAAAAACATTTAAAAAACATTAAAAACAATTTAAAATATATTCTTTTATACTTTCTATTCAATTCCTTCCAAAGAATCCTGAAAAAAAGTCAGCTTCCAAAAAAAAAAACTAAAATAATAAAATAAAATAAAAAAACTGCCAAAATTGATAATAATCAGAAATGTTTCTTGAGCAGCAAATCAGCATCTTAGTATGATTTCTGAAGGATCATGTGACACTGAAGACTGGAGTAATGATGCTGAAAATTCAGCTTTGATCACAGAAATAAATGACATTTTACTATATATTCACATAGAAAATAGTTATTTAAAATTGTAATAATATTTCACAATATTACTGTTTTTACTGTATTTTTGATCAAATAAATGCAGCCTTGGTGAGCGTAAGAGACTTCTTATAGACCCTAAATGTTTCTCAAATGGTAGTGTATTTTAAAATATTTAATGTTTAATATTTCTATAATATTTTTTAACATTACATTCAATATATATGCTTTTATTTATTAAATATACACATTATATATATTTTTTTATTATGCATCTAAGACATCTTTTAGAACTTTGAATAATTAGAACCCCAAATGCATAACAATGCGACTCCAATAATGTTCATCTTAATCTGAATGGCTCTCGCTGAGTTTTCTCGTGCACCTTGACGGCCCAGATGGACTGTTCGAGCGGGTGGAAGAGCTTGAAGCAGAAGCCGTCCTTCTTGGAGGGTCTCTCGATGAGCTCACAGGCGTTGAGCAGGACGGTCCCGACCCACTGGCCATTCTTATTGGTCTTATAGATGAGCAGGACGCCTGGCTTCAGCACACACCACAGCTTGGTCCAGCTCTTCAGCGTGCCACGGATCTGAAGGAGATAAAACTGACTCGTACAGGACTGGACGTTTTCTCATATGGTTTGATTGTGTGATCCAAAGCTATGATCAATTTAACCTCCTTTCCTCCTGACCCTGCAGGTCTTTTTTCACATACTATCAGCAATGTGAGCATTACTGTGATTATTAGCATGGGTTGTTTACCCCTGCAGCAAGACGGCAAAATGAAAAATGACATTCACTTTTTAATCATGCTTTTGTCCCGTTGGATTTACTACCAAAATTTAACGCATCCGTCTGCTGTGGATGCATTGCGAGAGATTCTATGAAGAATGAAACAATTTTGAGACCATTTATGCAGAGATGTGCATTAAAAGCATTATAAAATATGCATTACTAAAACAAGATTTTGCACCATAAAAAAGTGTTCTGTAACAACTCTCTACACACACCTTGGCAATAGAATCGCCATTGGCTAGTACATTTTTTTAGTTTACTCGCCGTTCATGAATATTAATCACGTTGTCTGCGTTCGCTCGAACTGATTTGCTGAAATCAAAACAGGGACGGTAATAGGTGAGCGTCAGCCAATGAGATTGCCGTTTGCGCATTAGCTCCGCCCACTACTGGAGAAACCTGCATATCTTATGCTTGTTCTTAAAAGCTGGATAATTCTAAATGAACTGTTATTTTTACAGAAGAATACAACAAAGAATATCATTTACATGTAGCGCGTCGATTCTGTAAGACTCTCACTCGCTCTCTCTCAGTCTTTGCGTGTGTGTGAGAAACACAGCGCTATCAGCAAAGCGACGGCGAGTCGTGTGTCTTCACACTAGAGTTTACGGTGCGTCAAATACAGGTGCGCTGCGCATCCATTGAGATGAACTGAAAAACAGCATAGATCGCTTAATGGAGAGTGAAACTCTGAAGCGCTCCGTCAGAGTGAAAATATATCTGTGCTAAACTTGCACTTAGCCTCTAACACACACACTGGCGAGTAAAATCTAAGAATTTATTAGCCAATGGCTAACGATAGACATAATTTAGTCGCCCAGAGTGAAGATTTAGTTGCATATGTGAGTGATTTGGGCTAAGTTAAGCCACACCAAAGACTCCAGTATGAAAATGGCCTACAAGAATAAACACATTTTAAGGGCAAACCTTGAGCCAGTCGGCCATGACGATGACAGACGGATCAGTGATGGTGCTCAGCAGCTCTTTAGTGGCACGTTTCTTCTCTTCCCTGTAGTTCTTCTTTTGCACCTGAATAGACATGCACGCAAAACATCACATTATTAGTCATTATTATCATTAGTAATCAGCATGCATAAATAAAAAAATGCACTGAAAGTCTGTATTGATCAGTGTGTCATTAATGAGTATGGCTGTACCTTGAGTGACTCCTTCTTAGTAAGCTTGTTTCCAGACGCCGATACGTCCTTATCTGAGCCATTATAGAGCTTTGTTTCCGACTGCAAAACCAACATAAATGTTAGTAATTTACACGGCGTGATGAACATTATGATATTATGAACTGTGCATTAGGCTGGCCTAAATTAATGTGGCATAATCCATACATATATATATACAAATTATTTATATACACACACACTAGGGATGTGCGCAACGACTAATTTGACTGTCGTTTAAACGGAAGTTTTGTATCCGACTAGTCGACTAGTCTAAAAGCAAGAAACCCCCAAAAGATGGTAAGAAAAAAGACAACTTTGTGCGTGTGTGTATATAATAGCCTACATTTGAAATACTTAATCTATGAATCATACTGTCAAATCCCTCAATGTATTCCGCAAAAAATAGGTCACAATTCTGCCGTACGCTTGCCTCGCGTTATCATCATTTAATTTTAGGCGGTTGTTAAAAAGAAAAAAAAAAAGAAGAGCACACACTCAACGTCAGCCAATGCTTATTTATTCAAATCAGCTGGGGAAATGCAGAACAATGGAAAATCGATCAATAGCCTGACAGAATTCTTAATCTTCATATAACGTTAGCCAACATATTAAAACACAAGTCAAAACCAATAGGAAATTTGATCAAGGAATAGCATTAAAACGGCTTTTAAAAACATACTTCATCATGTAGGCTATATCATCTAAAAACAAAACGAACAAAATGAAAGACAGGACCTGAGGCGATTAACAATTCCTGCACTTGAAAAAAACGCATTCGGCAGGAACTGAAGTCGCAGGCACGCAGAGATAACGAAAAGCAAGCCAACAGAATTTCGGAAAGCGCCTGGACATCCCGCACCACCACCGAAGTGGGTCTTCGTTAGATGAATAGACGGCGCGGACGGGATCGCAGTGGCGGCGGGCTGTAGTGAATGACGTGATTGACATTAGCCGAAACTTGCACTTAGCCTCTAACACACACACTGGCGAGTAAAATCTAAGAATTTATTAGCCAATGGCTAACGATAGACATAATTTAGTCGCCCAGAGTGAAGATTTAGTTGCATATGTGAGTGATTTGGGCTAAGTTAAGCCACACCAAAGACTCCAGTATGAAAATGGCCTACAAGAATAAACACATTTTAAGGGCAAACCTTGAGCCAGTCGGCCATGACGATGACAGACGGATCAGTGATGGTGCTGAGCAACTCTTTAGTGGCGCGTTTCTTCTCTTCTCTGTAGTTCTTCTTTTGCACCTGAACAGACATGCATGCATGCAAAACATCACATTATTAGTCATTATCTTTAGTAATCAGAATGCATATATAAGAAATGCACAAAAAGCATGCATTGATCAATTAATGAGTGTGGCTGTACCTTGAGTGACTCCTTCTTAGTAAGTTTGTTTCCAGACACCGATACGTCTTTATCTGAGCCATTATAGAGCTTGGTTTCTGACTGCAAAACCAACATAAGGGTTAGTAATTTACACAGCATCATGCACATTATGATATTATGAGCTGTGACTTAGGTTGGGCTAAATTAATGTGGCATAATCCATACATATACATAAATTATTTATACATACACACACATGCGCACACAAATAAAATTAAAATATACAAAATAAATTAATTGATTAAAAATATTAAAACTAAAATATTTAAGAAAAAGTTATTTTATATTGTACAAATATTAAACGGTGCGTGTGTGTATATATAAATTAAACATTACCTGAAATAAAATAAACATTATTAGTATTAAATATTAATTAAAACAACTTATTTCAGCTACATTCAACTACAACATTTCTCAATTTCTTTTTAGTTTTAGTAAATAAAAACAATGAAGACATATAAAAAAAACTAATAAAAATGACAAAACACAAAAATGACTAAAACTGTAAAATAAAAAAATCTATCTATCTATCTATCTATCTATCTATCTATCTATCATCTATCTATCTATCTATCTAT